TATTTATTTATTTCAAACATTTGTACCCCACCCTTCTCAATCCCCACAGGGGGACTCAGGGTTGCTTACAGCCGGCAACAATTTGATGCCCACACAAACAAGATAATAATACAGTAATTACATATAAATGATACATTAAATTAGCTTAAAATTAGTTTAAAATTAAATTCATTAATTTAATGAATTGAGGAACAAGATGGCCAACGTTGCTCTAGTCTCCATCTCACTTGCTTCATCACCACCAAATTCTTGGAAAACCAAGGGTTCAGGAGCCATGGTGCCCACTGCCCTGGCCATTTCCCCATTCCCAAGGTCAGTCAGAGCTTTGGGGAAAACACCTGCCAAGGTGACAGGAAAATCCCCAAGAGACATCAGGAATCCATCTGTATTCATAAGCCTTGTGGAGCGGACCATCTTAATTGGTCCCCCACCCCTCCTGAGGTTTGAAGTCCCAGCAAGGCTAAACCTGACCAGGTAGTGATCGGTCCATAATAACGGAATTGTGACCAGTTCCTCCACATCACCATCACCATCCTCCCACCTTGCACAGGAAACAAGGTCCAAAGTGTGTCCAGCACCATGGGTAGAACAAGACACCACTTGGGAAAAACACATGTTTGTCATGGAGTCCATGAAGCGCTGAGCCATTCCTGACAGGACAGTCTCAGCATGGATGTTGAATTCTCCCAGCACTATTAGCCACTTACACTCCAACAACAACCCAAAGACTACCCCGGCTAGCTCAGGAAGGGAGACTGTTGAGCAGCAGGGTGGGTGGTGCACCAACAGAATCCCTATTCAAATACACTTGAATGCTATTGACTGGGAGATGGGGAACCTGGTCAGGGGGATGGAATCATGATAAACCACTGCAACACCACCTCTCTGCCCCCCAGGCCTCACCTGCAGCTGCACAGAGAATCCTGGTGGTCAAAGCTGAAAGAGATTTACCTATCCAGCCAAGTTTCTGGGATACAAACAAGGTCAGCATGCTCATCTAGAATCAAGTCCTGGATGGCAGTTGTTTTTCCATTTACTGACCTGGTATTCAACAGCACTACTTTCAAACTAGGGGGTCTGTCACCCTGGTTATCCAGACTATTAGATATATGAGTTGGCTGGGGGGCACTATTGCTCTCCCCATTTTGTTGGAACTGAACCTGTTTCCCCCTTCCGCATCTCCTCCTACCCTGTATGACTCCAATGGGTGCCCCACAAGTCCAGGAACTCCCTCCCTCCTTAAAACAACACATTCTTCTTGTACAGGGCAAGATAACAAATGGTAAGTAAAATCCTATATAAAACCAGACAGGCAGTTGTTAAAAGCAAGGAAATAGGTCCTCGCCATCGTGCCACCCCCGACGTGGCTCCCTCAAAGGGGTGAACCCCTTCAGTGTTTCCCCTTCTGTACAAAACCATGAATAGACAGCTAAAATCAAAATTAAAAAGAACAAGTCTCAATACTACCAGAGATTTTTCTTTTCCTTTCTTAATGAGCCATGACAAGAAATAACAAAATGAAGAATATGGAAGTAGGAAAAATATTGGTTTAGTGGGAATTGAGGGGAAGGAAAATTCCAATATTCCTCTTTCTCGTTCTCTAGATCTTGGCAAACTGGGCAGAAAATGTCAGATTTGGCATGTGAACCAGGTTCTCAGTTGTTTTTGCAACTGAAATAACAGATGTAAATACAAGAAAATGGAATGTTGGCTCAAGGATCAGAAAGATAGCACACTTTTTTCAAAATGTTCTTTGTTAACATTCATGCATTCTACAATTTACAGCCTAGCTTCAAACAAGATGCTAAATTTGAAGTCGAGTGAAGAGTTTTCTTAGTGATATCATGCAGCATGGGCAGGCAATACTTGAGCTTTCAAAATAAACCTGCAACACTATGTGAGGCAAACACTGAAGAAGTATGTTTACAGTGGAAAAATATTTCTAAATTGGTTTCAGTGTTGGAATTTAAAGCCCATCTAAAGACCTAGTTTTAAGCATGAATTTTAAACTCATGCCCTGTGTTTTTAGGATCTGGCCTCAAGCAAGTTAAGAAATATAATATTATTAATAATAATAATAATTCAGTAAATGAACACATCAAACTACTCTGGGACTTCCGAATTCAGACTGACAGAGTTTTGGAGCACAATACTTCTGACCCCACAATCACATTAAAAAACCAAGTATGGATCATAGATGTTAAAGAGAAACAACTGCAAAAGCTGCCTTGATATGAAGATTTAAAGATCAAACTGCAAAGACTCTGGCACAAGCCAGTAAAGGTGGTCCCAGTGGTGATCGGCACACTGGGTGCAGTGCCTAAAGCCTTGGCCTGCACTTAAACACAATCACTGCTGACTTAATTACCATCTGTCAGCTGCAAAAGGCCACCCTACTGGGAACTGCCTGCATTATTCGCCAATACATCACACAGTCCTAGACACTTGGGAGGTGTCCCATGTGTGATCCAATACAACAGCCAGCAATGTGACCTTGTTTGCTGTGTACTAATCTTTTTGTGTTTCAAATAATAATAATAATAATAATAATAATAATAATAATAATAATAATCCTATTTAAATATATAAAACACCACATAACACCTCCTGACACAATCTTAAAATTTTGTACTATAAAAACCTGCCTGAATAAAACTTTTAGCCTGCTGCTGGAAGAACAACAGGGAGGAGGCCATTCTGGATTCCCTGGGCAAGGAACTTCGGAGTTTAAAGGCTCTCACTGAGAAGAAGGACCTCTATCGCATCCCCACCAACTGTGCTTGGGATGATGGTGGGAGCAAGAGAAGGGCTTCTCCTGAGGATCTAAAGGGTGGGCAGGTCCATGCTGGGAGATACCATCTGCCAAGTAGCCTTCAATTGCTGCAAATTAAATTCAAGGAGCAAATGTAGTTTCCACTCCATTAATTCCATGTGGGAGCTGAAGTTTTTCCCTTCCTGGTAGGCACAGGCATAAGCCAACTAGCGAGTCTCTCCTGGCATCTGTGCTCTTCCTTATTAATAACTTCTGCCTTCTTGACTACACTCTGTGGACCATATACATCCTTGTTTACATATGTGAAATGTTGGACACTTATGTTTCGATACCTCAGTCTTTGTCCTAAAATAGCATGAACTTGGATGTTTCTGACCTTACAACCCCAAATTGTGAGTGAGTTGTTAATGTAATAAAAATATTAAATTAAGCTGGATAGTATTGAATGACTCTAGGCCACACATTTCAATAGCCACATCTACTTTTAGTGAAAGCTATATGCTTACATCAGTTTCGGTGATATGAAAAAGAAAAAAAAGTGTTCTTATATATTATGCTTGTCATTCTGAACAAAGTGGAAGGAAAAAAGACTACAAACTCTCTCAGTCAAATATATTTTCTGGAACACCAACAGTTTGGAACACAAACAGCTATGGGCTTTCACATATCCATCTAAACATTTTTCATGTGACACTATATTGTTTTGCCAGGCAACATTATACATCTGTGTGATTCCACTAGCCAGCTTTCATGTCTATGTTTTTGGAAGATAAATGTGTAGTTGCTGATGCCAAAGGTGCCATTTTATGAGCTATTCTTCTTTCCTCCTATGGATTTTGTTTGTTCCACACATGAAGACACTATACTTGGTCATCTTAAATCCAGCAGTGCTACTGCAATATTACAGTTTCAATAGAATCTGTAATACTGAACAACTATGTCTGCTTCTGATATATATTGTTGAATAGAGCCTAGCTTTTTAATATTCCTGCTCTGTCGCTAACTACTTTCAGACCTCTTTATTACCTCACTATCTTACTGGAGTTTGCAAAAGGCTTCCAAATTCAAATTCCCCAAAGTTTCATTAAAATCCTGCTTATTCTTTCGTGCTGTGCATTAATGAAGATATTAAATAATACTGGCTCCAGTTCAAATATTGTGTACTTCAGTATCGTGCATGTTTTTAATTCTTAATATTTCTGGCCTTTAGAAAATAGTCACTGGAATGTCATATTTAGAGTTCTTCCTGAGTTTTCAGCTTAATATGAATTTCAAAAAAATTAAATCCAAAAGGGGTGCATGAATGAGAAGTAACATGTGGATAGTAGTAGTAGTTTATTAACTATTCATCATTCACATATAACATAAATACGGTAAATACAATATAAAATTAGTACATAAAATAAGTGTCAATTTTACTTTTTTTCAAAAAAATGCAATTAAAATGCATTACAATTAAAACATGTTAGCTAGAAACAACAATACTTAATTAGATTAGATAATGACATCCCCAGAAAAGTGATACATTTTTCCCAAATTCTCATTACTGCCAGCACAAAAGGAGAAACTTTGTGCATTTTGTTGTTGTTGTTGTTTATTTATTGAGTCACTTCCGACTCTCTGTGACCTCATGGACCAGCCCAGGCCAGAGCTCCCTGTTGGCCATCGCCACCCCTTCAAAGTCAAGCCAGTCACTTTAAGGATACCATCCATCCATTTTGCCCTTGGTTGGCCCCTCTTCCTTTTTCCTTCCATTTTTTCCCCAGCATCATTATCTTCTCCAAGCTTTCCTGTCTTCTCATTATGTGACCAAAGTACTTCATCTTTGCCTCTAATATCCTTTCCTCCAGTGGGCAGCCAGGCATTATTTCCTAGAGTGTTTGATCTTCTTGAGGTCCAAGGCACTCTTGGAATTTTCTGCCAACACCACTGTTCAAAAGCGTCTACCTTCCTTCGTTCAGTCTTCCTTATGGTCCAGCTCTCACATCCATAGGTTACTATGGGGAATACTATTGCATTAACTATGTGGATCTTCATTGCCAGTATAATGACTTTACTCTTCACTACTTTATCAACCATAGAGTCAATGTGAAACAAGAAACAGAAAATATCTTCTGAAACATTATTGGAATGTAGGTAAGACATTCTGATTCTTGATTCAGAATATAATGAGCAGATCAAATAAGTTAATTAATTAATTATTAATTTCCTGTATTTGTAACCCGCCCTTCTCACCCTCGAGGGGGGACTCAGGGCGGCCTCACAGCAAGCACCATTTGGTGCTGTCGCAATTATAAACATTCAACAATAATATCTCATCCCTCTTAAAAATTATTTTCTTAATTTCTAAGAGTTGTTTATGTTAAAAAGTGAACTCTTGAATAGTTCTCTTGATGATAAATGCATTGTCTTTTTCACAGTAACAAGTCTTCATACTGTACGCTTCCTTTTTCTGAAAGACAACCTTCATCACTTTTTTGTTCACATCGTACTTCTTCTGTCTCTTTTGCCAGTTGTTCTTGACTGTTCAGTTTTTTTACTAGGTCTTCTAGGTTCTGCATTTCTTCCTGCAAATTTCTCTGAAGGTCATGATTGCTGTGTATGAAATCCCTTACTGCTTGTATTCTGCAGGAATCCTCTTTTGACATTGTTGCTTGCAAAGCCTGATTTCACGAAGTCTCTCTTTGATCAGCTCTGCCTCTATTTCAGTCATCTGGCTTGGGCTCAGTTCACCTTCCAGTCCATCAAGCTGATCTTCCCCTGGTACATGAACAGCCCAATCAGATTTCAGGAGCTTTTCTATACTTGTAGTAGCCATTTGGGCCTCGGGAACATGCTGAAACTCAGCTAGCAAATTTTGAATATGGTTTCCAAACTGCTTCAGCCAGGAAGAGGAGACTTTCATATCTGAAGAGTGCATTAGTTCATTGCGGCACTTAATCACCTCTCTGACCTTCTTTTGATCAATGTTGCTGAAGTAATCACAGAAGGTAAAAAGGTTTAAGAGTCCTGATGCGTCACACTTGTCAGGACCACAACTATCAGCTTTCTCAGGAGGCATGTAAGCCTTTGCAATTTCCCAAGAGTCAGAAGGCCAGAGCCAAGGTCTGCAGTTTCCCCAGTTCACCTCCCCATTCCTGTGTATGTGATGCTTCAAAATCTCCTTTTTCCATTCTTTACACAGGGTACAGGCAGGCTGAAACTGCTTTCCTCTCGGGAGGCAGTGCCCGTGGCAGCGACTTCCAGGCAGCGAGGGGAGGCGAGCGGCCAGCTGCTGGTGGAAGGCGTGGGCCTGCTCGCCGGTGAAGCGCTGGAGGGTGGCGCGGAGGAGCAGCAAACCCTGCCTGGCCTTCAGCCAGTTCTTGTACTCGGAGCAGTTCAGCTGCGCCGCCAGCTCCGCCGCCAGCCCCATGGCCTCGCCACTAGCAATGGATATATAGATGGGCCGGAGAGAGATGGGGGGAGGGAGAAACAGAAACAGAAAGAAGGAAGGAAGGAGGGAAGTTGGTGAATCCTCAATTTCTGGAGGCCCACCAACACACAGAGGAGCAAAGTGTTATGAGAAAATCTATCAGTGCTCATGGCTGCAGGGATGGCTTGAAAAAGAATGGCTGTAAAAATTGCCTAAGTTTTGGAAATGTGAGCTTTGCAAGGTAAATAGCCATTTGGTGGTCAAATTTATAATATACCATTTTGAAAAAAATGGAGTTATTAATAGCCTCTCTGTTCAGTTGTAATTCAATTTGAAAACTGTATTCAGAAAGATTCACATTTACATTGAAGAAAGAAAAAAATGTCAAGTGGAGTAGAATACAACTGAAGAAATTTCTGATACTTTTAAATTCAAACTTTGTAGTTTGATAGCCACTCTAAAATGGTTGGGTCAAAAGCCTAACAGAGGAATCTTTTAAAGTTGTCTAGTAGTATTTGTTAAAATTGCATGTAAAGATCTAATAAAAGGAAACTGATATTTGCCCACACCAGAGCTGCAGGAGTCCAGGTATTCAGTTTCTTGAGCGATGTATTCTGAAGGGCCTCCAGTTTATCCACCTGAGAGTCATCCCATTCCCAGGCAACACCATCATACAGAATAAGGGCAATGGTTTTGCCTGGAGTATTTCCAGGGCTGAAACAACCAGATGACCCTGAAGTTTGTAAAAGCTAAGGATTGTCCCAGCATATCTTAAAGCTAGTGCTCTAGGAGCTTCTATATGGGTTTTACAGGAGAGGTTTTCTGCGAAGTGAATCTCCAGGTTCTTAAATTGTTCAAAATGGAGGTAATGGTGATTTGTAGATGTGGTGGTGGTTTTTTGTCATCTCTAACCCCTGATAGTTGGTTGCTGTGAGCAGCTGCAACTCCCAAGACCAATTTATGGGAAGGAAAAAAAATCAAGAACAGCTCAATATCATCAACTTTTTCAAAAGAGCAAATCATTAGTGAATTACTTTCCTATTGTTTTGACATTGCTCTTTTATATTCAGTGGTACACACTTCATGTAATGTGTAGTCAACATTATTTCAGATATAGCTATGTGATTGTACAAATCAAGATCAACTAGGTCAGGACAGAAATAATTGTGAGTTTTGCCATCAGCAGTGACTACAGAAGACTCATTTTATCAATTGGATTTACCCATGTGTTGACTTATAATTCAACAGTTTATTCAATTGTTCTGGTTCTGGTTGGGACTAACCAACAGGATTTAAGTCACAGACTTGAGAGGGACCTAAATGTCAACTGATCAAACCCTTTGCTCATTTTGTAAGGAAGTAATTTATTTGCTTGTGTTGCTTTTATTTCTTACCCATCCTTAGCATTGGGAGAGTTTGGCCTCACTTTCACTCAGCAGCTCTTATGGGCTGCAAAGGGGGAAGAGATGAGGGCTGTGTTGACCTGCCAAAAAGAGGACATGTTTTAGCATTGGTCCTGTTAATTCTTTAGTTAGTTTTTTACTCCTCCTCTGTAAATCAATGCAAGGTTGGAGGTTTTGGTAGGACTTTTTGATCTAGTTATCTGGACATATTAAGGAAATGTGCCTAGACTTTTGAACTTTGTGGAGACTGGTTGTCATGGTTTCCATACACATCATACTGTAGTGGTAGTATAGAAAAGGGGAACTGGTAGCTTAAGTGAGTGTCTCCCAGGCAGCTTTGGATGAAAGGTGGCTTCTGCACTGCCAAGCATTCAAAAAGCACTGTACCTACATTGATCCATGGATAAGCTGACCCTATTTGTTTGACAAAAGATTCTAGATTTATACATGAGTATATACACTATATTTCATCTTTATTTCTATTTCTGATAGTGAAAACCAAATATCATTATTTCTTCCAGGTGACAACAAAATGGGGTTATACCCAGAATTGCAACTTTACAGTGCAATCCTATGCAGACATAAAGCTTTCTGTGTTCAGAAGCATTTACTCCATGCCTTTCTTCCTTTATTTCTTCTTTCCAACTTTATTCATTCATTACCAGACACTGTTTGGTCTGAAACCTTTGTTTTTCAGTGAATTTCAAACTGCCCTCAGGTACACTGACTTTTAATAAATCTCAAAATGCTTTCATTTTTCACCAATTGATTCAGGAATTATACAACAAGGAAGAATAAATTGGGATTCAGTTTAAATCAAGTAGATGTCCAGGAAATTCATGACTGTTAAACAACCTGGAGTTGGCTGGCTTATCAAGGAAGCCCACCAAAGGCATGAAAGTTAGAAAGGATAACAGGCTGATTTAATGGAAGCAGCACTTTGGAAAATAAAGATGTTTGATGGATGAAACAGTTTGGCCCATTGGAAAATGAAGGCAAATGAGGGCCTGGATTAGATGGTTTGCTCATCTCCTCTTCCTTTCTTCCTTCCTTTATTTAAAGATTTATATTCTGCCTTTCTCACCCTGGAGGGGACTCAGGGCAGAGCACAACATTCAAATGGCAAACATTCAATGCTAGGACATAAATAAATTATATGCATACATAAACATTACAAACATTTGTCTCAACATTAAAATCCACTGCTTAAACTGTCTCAATCATCTGCATCAAATCTAGTTGGCATGATAAGGAATCAAATTGCTGCTTTATTGCACTACCCCCAAAGCTTGGTCCCACAGCCAAGTTTTTACCATCCTTTTGAAGACAGGAGGGAGGGAGCCAATCTAAATCTCACCAGGAATGGAGTTCCATAGCCAAGGGGCAATCACTGAGAAGGCCCTCTCGCTCATCCCCACCAATCATGCCTGTGACAATGGTGGAACAGAGAGGAGGGCTTCCCTGTAGGATCTTAATCTCTGGGATGGTTCATAGGGGGAGATGTGTTTGGACAGGTAAATTGGACCAGGGCTGTTTAGGGCTTTATAGGCCAAAGGGCAGTACTTTGAACTGTGCTTGGTAGCAAACTGGCAACCAATGGAACTGACGTAACATGGGAGTTGTATGCTCCCTGTATGCTGCCCCAGTTATTTACCTAGCTGTCTCTCATTGGGCTATTTGAAGCTTCCAAACAGTCTTCAGATGCAGAGCACTTTGCAGTAGTCTAGCCGGATGTAACAAGAGCATGGATCACCATGGCCAAGTCGACTTCCTTTCAGGCCACAGGCTACACAAACCATTTTGCCATGACAATGACATTTATCAAAACCAAGAAACAATGACAAACGTGCTCCAGCACTTTCCATTCCTTAAAGTGATGACTTGATTGCTTGATTTGTTTGTGGAAGAAGGGAAGATTAATATGTGTAAATACTGCACTCCAAGATCACTCCTTATTCAGTAATTATTTTTCAAACCACAGCAGCTTGATAAAAGATTGGGTAATATTTACCAGAATAAAAATAGTAATTGAATGGGGAAGATTGATTTCTATGTCAATATAAACACTATGAGACTGGAAAGCAGCCAGGTTATTTATTGCATCCACCAGCTGGATGGGATTATGTCAGTATATTCAACAAATGGGAAATACTATAAAAAAGTATGTTTAGGGGGTGGGACAGAATGGTTTGGCAATTAATTGACAATATATCATCATTTCAAAATTAATACTTTATATGATGGTGATAAACAGTATTTAAAATTTAATGTTTTAAACAAAGAAAAGTTCTTGAAAGGAAATTGGAACTGGGGACAGATATTACTTACATTTTTCTAATTCAATAGCAGTTCCTTTTTTAATCAAGTGTGGGGTTCTTTTTTTTAAATAGTTTTAACAGATGGTTAGGATTTTATATAAGCACCATGGCTTTCTGTTATGTGCTCTTTCTGAAAATAAAACTTGCTTAGATTAAATTGAACAAATGTTAAATAAAATAATTTGACCTCAACATTTGTTCTCGCTGCCAAACAAATAAAAGGGATGAAGAGCAATTCATCCAAACATCTTTCTAGCACTATTCTATTTAGAGGGCCAGCTTCAGAAGATGGTGCTTAGGGACCACTGCTCTGTTTTGACTACATTCTGCCTCCTCTACACTGTAACAGCATTACAAACCATTCCCGGGAAGTTGAGTGAAGGACAACAGAGTTATACTCAGTTTTATTAATGCTTGGACTGTAAATACCCTAACGGTAGCATATTTTAAGCAGGATCAGCCCTAGTTGGTACTTAGGTGTATTGGCAAAACCACCTCTAAGCATTCCTTGTCTAGAAAACCCTATAAAATTCATGGATTGCCATAAATTGACAGGCAACATGAAGGAACATACATGCACACATATCATAATGTTTTGAGTCTGATTGAGCTGATTTGTTTTGTCTGTGATTGTATTGATTGCTCTTGTGTTTTTCTGTAACTGCCCTGAGGACATTTCTAAATTAAGTATTATTTAAAAGTATAAAATGGAATAAAATCAGTCTGCAGGGTGTAAAGGTCCCTTACCTTTCCAGCCTGGGTGGCAGGGCCTAGGAGAGGCAGGCCAGTTAGTCGCAGCTTTGGAGGGCCTGGCAGAGGGCAGCAGGAGCCATTTTAGTTTAGGGAAAGCACCATTTCAGAGAGGGGGAGTGGCCTAGGCCTGAGCCAGCCTTAGAACAGCCAGGATTGGTTAATTAAAGGGGGGCGGAGTTAGACTGTTTGGAGGGAAAGAAAGGGCTTTTTCAGTGAGTCTGTTGATGTTAGGGTTTAGAGCAGGATTACAGAAGTTTTTAGGAGTTCATGTTAAGAGTAGGCAGTTTGCCTTAAGTTTGCCAGCGAAGTAAGCTGTAGCAAACTGGGTACAGCTATTTAGGGAAGAAATAGCTGGGTTTTGTAGTTAGCTAGGCCACAGTTGAGGGTAGCTAAGCTACAGTTGTATCTTGGCAGAGATTCAGCTCCTGTCAAGTATACTTGGTTTTGTTTTAAAGAAGAAACTCTCTGTAGTAACAAAGAAAGAACCATTCACATGTAACCGTTACGCTTTCAAGAACCAGAACAT